TCCAGCTCGAGGTGTCTGACTCTTCCCAACTACCTTGTTGCTACTTACCCAGCTACTTTTCAAGTCCTCAGGGCCTTACCCGTGGGACCCACTCAGAAAGTCACAGGACTGTAGAATGTTAAAGTTGCTCAGGATCTCAGAGATCATCTCATCCAACTCATGCCATGGAGAGCAAGTGAGCCCAAGAGGGAGGCCTTTATGGGGCCTGAGCCTCTTGGTACCCACCACGTAATACATTTCCTTCTTGGATCCTATATAGGGATGGCCGGTTGGCTCACTGGGTGAGCGTGGTGTTGACAACACCAAGACAAGGGTTGAGATCCCCTTACCGGGCATCTTTTAAAAAATAAATAAATAAATAAAATCTGGGCACTAGAAAAGATCATTGGAAGAGTCAGAACACCCCATATGTTGGCTTGAGTGTAGCTAGGAAATTCCCAGAAAGGGCTGGGCACCCCCAATCACAGGGAACACCGCCAACGTCTGGCTCAGGACCTTTGGTACAATTGAAGATTCTCACCTTCACGTGGGTGGTTGAACATCCACGCGTAGTGAAAAATTAGTGGGCATCACATTTGATAGAGGATAAGGGAGGCGGTGGTAAAACCATTTGGCCCATCTCAGTTCCTTGCAGTTCTGACATTTCCATCTTATTGTAAGGAGAGGGATCCAGGCATGATTCAGTGCAGAGAGGAGAGGCAGCCCTCACGTGGGCTGCTCTTACCACATGGGAAACGGAGGCCAGGCAGTAGTGGACACCCTGACTCATGTGGCTGATGGCCATCCTCAGGACTCAGGGAAGAGCTCACCAGCTACCTGAGGGGACAACAGAGGCACTTGAAATGCCGAAGTGCTCGTACTGGGCCATGTTCACAGCCTCCCGCACCCCTCCCAGGGTGCTGCAGCACTGCGGCTCAGAAAGCCCCGGGAGCCCAGGGAGCCACCATAAGAAAGAACAGCTTGGGGTTACTGGGCTGCCCTCCTGGGAGCCAGACTCCCGCCTCCCACTCAGCCTTCCTCCAATCCCTTCTCCCTGCATCCAGAGTGAATTTTTTTTAAATGCAAATTGAATCCTGTCACCCCTCTAGCTTAAACAAACCTCAATAGCCTTTAAGATAGAGATCAAAATTCTTCAATGGCTTTGAAAGCCTACCTGTGCAAACTCACCTCTGCCACTATTTCCCGAGCTCTCCAAGCCCTCGCTGCCTTCAGAGCCTGCCTCGCAGTTCGTGAATGGATGTTTAACATCTGTCTGCCCCATGAGACTGTAAGCTTCATGAGGGGAGGGCCCTTTTTTAAAAAAAAATTAAGTATTTTATTTTATTTTAAGGGAGGGCCCTGTCCTTTGCTTGCCTTTGTATTCTCGGGGTCCAAAACAGTGCCAGAGCCAGGGCTTAACACAGGGTAGGTGCTCAGCACTTATTTGTTGAATAAATGAAAGACCAGCCTCTGACACTCAGAAACACACAGGGAGGACGCACAAATGCACGTCCTCCCTGACACACACACACACCTGTGCATGAGAGATCAAATACCTCCCCTCAGAGCACATGCAGAGGTCGCTCCTGTGGAACTGGCAGGTATGTGCAGTGCCCTCCCTTGAAGGAAACATTAGCCCCATTTCCCTTCTACTTCACCTGAATCCTTGATCAAGCCTTGCTTATTGGTGGCAACAATCCAGTTCTCTGTCGTTAAGGGGACAGCAGGTGGCACTTCCAAAGCAGACCAGGTGGCCTTCTCACCTTATCTCCTGGGCCTCACCTGCCCTCCACTCTCCCTAAGAAATCTGTTAAGAGCATCCTGCTTCTAATTTCCTCCTCCCACCCACGCATCCTCAAAAACCCAACCATCTGCCCTGCCAACATCAGCCCCGCACCCAGCTGGCGGGTCACCCTTCCTGTCTCTTACAAAGCTCCTGGGCAAGCTCGCCTTCTCTGGAAGTCCCCTCGGCTGTACAGCCCCCAGCATCTCCCCTTCCTCGCCACTCTCAGCAGAGGGCAGCCCCATGCAGAGCCTGTGGGATCATGCCCTCCTGTCTGTCTGGGTCTGTGACCAGCCCCCAAACTTTGCTGCCTGTTTGGTACCACCTTGGTGTGAGATTCCCAAGAGGGCAGTGGCTTTATGTGTCTATGTGGTTTATGCTGTCAAGGTTCCCAAGGGACCAGCTTAGCTGAAAATTTGAGGCTTTGGATGATAAAAGCACTTCTTTTAAAAGGGGCCATATCGGGCCGGCCCGTGGCTCACTTGAGAGAGTGCGGTGCTGATGACACCAAGGCCACGGGTTCGGATCCCATATAGGGATGGCCGGTTCGCTCACTGGGTGAGCGTGGTGCTGACAACACCAAGTCAAGGGTTAAAATCCCGTTACTGGTCATCTTTAAAAAATAAAAAGAAAAATAAATAAATAAAAGGGGCCATATCAATGAGGCATCACGGAGCAAACTCACACTAAGTTAGCTTGGCTACGAGCTTAACGCTCTGGAGAATGAGCAGTTGGATGGGCTGATGTCACAGGACCCTTCCATCCCTGACCTCCTCTGAGGCTAGGGCATTACCCCTGGGGGGCCCAGCCCTGCCAAGCCTGGGCTGGAGGAGGAGGAGGAGGCGGGGGGAGTGGGAGGGGCGGCGGCAGCCGAGGAGTCTGCAGTGACCTACATCTGCCCCAGCGCTGCCTGCCCACCAGCAGTCCATGCAGAGCCTCTGGCAGCAAGAGCAGCTGGACACAGGGAGGAGGGAGCTCACAGGGAGCAGGAGGCTGCTGTGCACCAGGTAAGTGGGCACTGCACACCCGGCCGCCCACCCAGGCTGGGGTAGGGCAGAGATGGGAGACGCTGTCCTGTTCTCTAACCTTTCTACTCAGGAAGGGGCAGGCAGTGGACGTGAGACCAGCCTGGGGACCATTTCCTGGCTGTCTGATCCCATGCCGGGGTGCATGTATGTTCCCACTAGACGACTATAGGATATTCGGAGGAGAGAATTTCAGTGAGTCTTCTCTGGGGCTTCTGTCCTGGCTCTGATTACCTGGGCATTACTTGTTTAGAGTATAATACGGTGACCAGATTAAAAATAAGGACCTCAGGTCTGGGACTTGCTACCTTGACCACTAACACGGTCACAGCAGTTGGGAGAAGCCCCGCTTGACTCTTCCTGCCTCAATTTCTACCAGTGAAGAAGTTGGGGATGGCAGGACCCTGGGTCTGCAGGACAGAGCAGAGTGTGGGGCTGAGGGCAGGAGGGCCATGGGTCCTGGAGAGAGGCCGGGGGACACAGCCTGGGGCCGGGGCTGAGAGTCTCGCTGGGATGGGCTGAGGTGAGGACACCAGCTGCCACTTGGTGCTGAGAAGAACCACGGAGGAGAGACTTCATCCCCTTCCCCGTCTCCTCCAGTTGAAACCGCCTCCCTCTCATCTTCAACCAGACAGGTCTCTCACCCACTCGGCACTGACCTTGTACTAAATCTGCCTTCTTCCTGAAGAGGATGTAGGTCCAGAGGGTGAGACGGCTTCACACCGGACCCCTGAGTTCTCCCGAGAGAGCTTAGCTGGGACCTGTGGGCAGGAGGCTGGAGGGAGAGAGGTGGTAACCGCATTATACTTCATGTGTCACAAACAGCCGAGTCATCAACAGATCGCTGCTAGTGGTGTTGATGGGGACGATGGTGAAGGTGATAACTAGGACGGCTGTGCTCAACTCAGACTGCTCCAGTGTGGGGGTCATGCACAGGTGCCAATGCACTCACCTCTACCAGGAGACCGTCCCAGGGACGGGTGGGCCGGAGGCTTCTGCAGCCCTCCCCCGGCCGTGGCCGGCTGGGTCCTCCTCTGCTGGCGGCTGCCCTTGCCCCCCACCCTTCCTCGTGACTCCCTTCAGCGCAGCGGCTGTGGTGCCTGTGACGCTCCAAAAACGCGGTTGGCGCACCACGGCATTCCAGTGCACCGGGGGCCAACGGCTGTGCTGGAGAGGGGACGTCCTGGGGCCAGAAGTGCCGCGGGGTGGGCAGTTGTGAAATGGGACAGTGTCAGTTGGAGGGAGAAGTTTGCTTTGTCATGTGTGATTCTATATTGATGACCAGCCTCTTTGTATAGGAAGTGGAGTCCCCAGAATGGAACCACTTGGCCACGGGCCAACAGCACAGGAGGTGGATTGCTGGAGAGTTCTTTCAAGGACCCGCACCCTATTCATGGCTTTTGTCCCATCCCAGAGCCATCCCCGTCCCTCTCCTGTGTGGGACTCCCCGTTGGCCATAACAGATGGATGCAGTTGAGAGGAAATCAGGGGTTGTCATGGTCATGGCGGTCGGAAGGGGCTGGAAAACACTCTTGTTCACCTGACACTATAATTCACTGGCTTCAGAGGGGTCAGATAGATTTATGGGGATCCCATTGGCCTGGGAAGAGAAGAGCTTGAGAGCAGCCAAGGGGGGGTGCTCTCCCCTGCAGACCGTGTGATCTGAAGGATTCCAGATTGGCTGAGGGTGGGGGTGCAGGGCTGCTCTGCCCTGCTAGAAAAATCTCAGAGTTGGGGGAGGAGCCACGAGACCCAGAACGTTCCTGGAGTACTCACACTCCAAAGTCAAAGGGGCAAGGCTGCTAAACAGCTGGAAGAATCCTGAATGAGTCTGGTTTTCTTAGGTTTGGGAAGGCTCTGTCTCATCCTCTGAGTGGTCGTTGGGCCTGGGGTCCCACCAGGAGGCCAGGCCAGCAGCACAGTATGCAGGCTCTGCCCCATGGTTTCCTTTACCTGGGAAAGGTGGCAACTGGACAGCGTCCTACCCGCTCCCTGGTCTCTGGGAAATTGATTTGGCCAGGGCCAGGGAATTGTAGAACACAAGCCAATGTCATCACTTGAGGTCGGACAAGCTCTTGGGGACAGGAGCCTTTCCCAGCGCTGCTGGTGTGGGAGGACTGGAGTGAGACCAGCCTGGCCCTCACAAGCAAGTCTACCTTTATTCTCAGGAGATCAATTTCCACCCTTAGAGGAGCCAAAGAGGAGCCGGAACTATGGCAGGTGAGAGAAGAACTAGCCTCCCCTCCCATGCCAGCCCGCGTCGGCGCCCTCACCAGCGTGGAGAGGAGGGAAGGGGTGGGGTTCAGAGACCTCTGGGGACTCCCCCACCTCTAGGCTTTTCTTAGTTTTGGTTCTGGGTTTGTTTTCCTGAATAAGGGGCGCAGAGCCCCCTCCTCAGGAAGCAGGAGCCCTTTCCCAGCTTTTCCCCAGTGACACACTCAGGGTCTTCCCAGGGTGCCCCCTGCCCACTTCCTAGGGGGCTCCATTCACACCACTGGAGGGTCACCCCCAGATCCCCACTAAAATATTAAAAAGCCCCAGTCACAGGCAGGCGGGAGAACGGACCATCCTGCTCCACCAGTAGGAGAAAGAAGGGGGTTCTTGCTCCTTGGTTGAGTGGGAGGATGCTCCATTCTGCTGAAGGGCCACCTAAGAGGGCGAAGGGGGTGGGCCCATCTCCCTCTCTCTGGCCTTCTCCAGGGAAGCCCCTGAAGAAGTCCTCCCTCCCCGGGGTGAGCATCCGGCAGCTGGTGGAGGAGATCCCTGAAGGCTGCAGCACCCCGGACTTTGAGAGGAAGCCGGTCCCCTTGGCTCTGCAGGAGGGTGAGGCCCTGGAGGGAGCAGCTGGGGGGGGGGCAGGATACCCACACTCCTGGCACTCACGGGGGAGAGGGCCTGGGCACCTGCCTGCCTGGGCACCCAGCCCCTATGCCATCACCAGGCCATATCGTGTCTCCCTCCTATATTTGGGGTGTGCCTGCCTGCCTGGGTGCCTAGAAGGGACAAAGGGCTCGGGAGAAGAATCGGTGAAGGGAATGAAGAGATACCGTGCCAGGCTGATGTCAGACAGATTAGGGGGACAACGATGGGGAAATGCTAAACTGGGGAGCAGGGAGAGGTTGTGGTTCTTCCCAGTTCCTGTCCCCTGCCTCAAAGCCACCACTGCAGAGAGGCGCTGTGGAAACGGAGGTGATTTGGCTCCTCCCGACCTTGCCTCCAGACAGCCACACCTGCAGTGGCTCACTGGCTGGGCTCCTGAAGGCCATTCTAGAAGGCCGTGTGGGACGAGTGCCCAGGACGTGTTCACAGCAAAGGCTTGTCGGGGAAGGGGTAGGAATTAGTGGTCTTTCCCCAACTCAGGCCCCTGTAATAAATTTTAATTCTCAATGTTCTGGTCTAAGACAAATAATAGTACTTTATTTTTCTAAATCTGAAACAAGGTCGAGAGAAGTTGGGGAGGGCCTAGGGCCTGCAGTCTGTATTGCTCTCTCCTGAGACACTCTGAGGGGAGGCTGAGGGGCGCCTTGACGGGGAGCAGCTCCTCGACTTCCACGCCAGGCATGGAGCTTGGGGTCTTTTCTGAGGCTGCACCCCTGTGTCCCACGACCAGTTCCTTTGTGCACCAAACAGCTCAGTTCCTTTGTGCACCAAACAGCTGTTCCTTTCCAAGGCTGTCATTCCCCCTCCGTCTAGAGAGTAGAAGTGGAACCCGTGCAATCTCACCCCTTCCCAGTCTTGAGGGAGTCCCCTCTCCCACCCAAGCCCTGCTCGCCTCCCCTTCACCCTGGACGGTCCAGCTGGACATTTCCCTCAAGGTGCTTAGAATCAAGCTTCGCTCCGTGAAACAAGGCAGTGGTAGGTAGAACCTGCCTATAACTCGCAGGAGCTCTGCTTTGCAGCAGTTGTGTGAAAACCCCATTGGAACAGCCATTCATCCACGGTCAGAAAACACTGCTGAGTATCTCTGAGAAAAAGACTCACAGAAGGCTGCCCGTTGAGAACGAAGTTTCACTTCACGTAATCAAGCAGCACCGTGTGCTCCTTGCATCCAGCTGGCAGAAATTCTTGTTTGGAACGTGTATGGGAAAAGGT